TTTTACTCTAGAAGGCCCATTATTGACATTTGTTTTTACATGAAGAATTTATTGATTTTATTCTTTACCTGAATTAAATTTAGATWTATCTTGGACTCTTGAATATTAAATTATCAACTAATTCAGATTTTATTTGGCTTTGTACAGGAGCAAAACCGAAACCAACCCAAACCGACCCAACCCGATTCAAACCGACCAGGTCGGTTTGACCTGTCAGTGGGTCAGTTTCGGTTCCCACCTTAGCTAACCCGACCAAGTCGGGTCGGTTGGGAAAATCCTAAGAAACCGACCCAACCCAATCCGTAAACACCCCTACTTGAAGCCCACCCTATCTCAGTCTCAGCCAACCCAATAAATTTTCTTTTGATTCTCATTTTCACCCCCACAAAATTTACTTTGAGCTCTTGCAAGTAGATTTTGGAAGGACATATTTGTCTTTTTAACCATTTTGTTAGTATATATAACAACAAAAAGTATCTAATTAATGACTCCACCCCCTAGTTATATAAGCTTCATGGTCACTTTGACATGTCAGAAGAATATTGAATGGAGACCGATCCAAAATTGTCACCAACTATTGTGAAGATAATTAGTTAGTGGTGCCTATTGCATTGACTTCATATTTAAACTATATATGAATAACCAATTCCAAACCACCTCCCTCTCGCCCTTATAGGCTTAGTTCGGAAAGAATACAAATACATGAAAATAATATAAAATACAAGATTTTGCACTCTATCCCTTCCAAACTCAAGCCCTGAAAAAAAAAAATTATTGACTCCAGACTTCATCAGGTTAGAGTTTGTTTTGTTCAGTTCCAACTACCAATCTGGTCTAAACCTGACCCTCCAGTTAGCACTAACATTGAATCACCGAACTGACAATAACAGTATATTTACAAATAAACAACCTTATTATTATAACGTTTTGAGCTGTAAAACACATCTAAATCTTATCTGAAATTTGATCGAATCGAGGGGTCTTGGATTGGATTTGAGCTTTATGAGATTTTTTAAGTCAGATCCAAAATTAATCTTGATCTGTTTCATTATATTTGGTGCTTATATTATTCATATAAGATCCAAAATTATTAATAGGATCGGATCTTAATAGGATTAGATAGGATAAAACCCATATCACGCCCAATTACTCAATGGACGAAAGTTCCAAAACCCAATCATCAAATTATATAAATGGATCATCCAAATCCAAGATTGGACTTTCGAATTTCAGACTACATGGACAGTCCTTAGGCTTCGTAAAAAAAGTGACAATTAACTTCGAAAAGCGTGAATTTAAAAAGTGTGGAATTTTACATGACAATCGATATAAACTTTTACATGTGATGAGGCTTTACATCGATTTATAATGTTAAATTCCACTCCATCTAAATGCCAATAAATCTAAGTCAGGGTAGAGTTTTACGTTAATCTTGATTTACATTCATTCCAAATATCAACAAAATCGAACCAGCGTAAATATTTACATTGCTTCCAAACGCAGCTTAAAGATATTTCCTGCATCTACCCATGGGATTGCAACAATATCCTTAGACTGAACAAAGCATAAAAAAATCAATGAACCAAAAAAAAACAATTAGAGAAAATTTCTTCAAACAAAACCCTTTTTCTCCCCTTTCCCTCCCTTTATTCAAATCTCTGTCTATTTTTGTTTTTTAATTTATTATTATTAGAAAATATCTATGATATCAAAAAGACATAATATTGAAAGAGCTTTGACCAATCAAAACATCCCTATAAATTACCACAAATAATACCATCTGATTAGCCACCTCTTTTATCATACTGGCTGATTGGCTGTAAATTTTTCCGACATCATATCTGAATGAGATATAAGGGTAACTACATAATTTAACACTATACATCAACTCAAGCTAAGCATAAGGGATCAGTTTGTATAATTTATCTAAAATGTGGAGATAGATTTTTGGAGAGGTCAGACTTCAGGGTAGTTAAAAAACTACAGGGGAGGTTTAAGTAATTTACAACAAAATAGGCTGATTGGATTGGGTTTGGACCTTGCCCATTACATCTGCTACAATTACAAACAACTATATTCATGAACATATCTACATACAAATAATACATAGATATCATATTATAGAAATATTTTACCAGGAAAAAAACAGACAACTATATATTCCCTAACCTTAACCCAATCTTCATCTTAATGAACAATGGGCTGAGTTCAGGTTAGCCCGACTCAAGTTGCAGCAAAAGATCCATTAATTTTGCCAGTGGGTGGCTCCTTATTCTCGAGATATTAATTAAAAAAAAAAAAGTTTCTAATATATAATTATGTAATGATAATTATGGGTTGACCCACAATCCATCGTTATATGATCCATCAACTCTATAATAAATTTCTTTCTTATTTATTTAATTTTGGAAAGGCCATATTGTGGATTGAGACAGTGAGTGGGAACAATTGCACATAATTTTACCACCGTGAGCAGCTGAACCCCCAGCACCAGCAGTAGCAGTCGTCTATCACGGCATTATATCCCATCCACACTGTGGAGTGTGGACTACCACCTCTTAATCCTAGAAAGGGGCCCTAGCTGTTTGCTCGTGACTTTTTATTTTGTTTGGTCCTTGTTGGTATCATTGTTCTTTGGCCCAGTTCCCATATGTCTTTGTTGGCAGTTGAGTTGGGCCCAAAAGATAGTACAAAATGCCGTGAACTGCGTGCCCACATTATTTACGTCTTTTTCTATCTGTTCATGTTTACTTGCCGACTTGGAAATTGTATAAAAGCGTTCATGCCCACTACTACTCTCATTTTCGACTTAGAGCACACGTTTTCTTTATTTTAAGTTAAAAAAAAAAAAAAAAAACTCGGCCAAGAGTGGTGGAGTTCTGTGCAAGAACTAACAAGGCAGATAATGATATCCCTTCCAACGTTGTTGGTAATTAACGTTTCTTCCATGGTCTATAAAGTTTTCTCTCTCATTTTTGAGGTTTTGTAAAATGACATCTGATTGTGCGTGATCTAGATGCTTCTAGCTGGAAGACAGTTCGGACGTCAGTGTTTAACTGGTCAATCAAACTATAAGAGAAAGGATCAGAGAATCCATGGTGGCTAATCCGGTAAGGTCACTCCAATGCTTAAGTTAGTACTTGCTTAGTAGATTGCGAGCTGGAAATCAGTAATCTTGAGAGCTAGAATGCACTTAATCGCGCGTACCTTGTGTCACTGAGGTAGATGCCCTTATATAGGCGTTGTTTGGCGTGGGCATCACTCATTGTGTTCGAGGTCTTCGGGAAGACGTGCCTAATCGACCCGATGTCCTTGAAGGTAGCCATACATGTAGACCAATCTTCGCGCCTTGTTCGGTTTCCTCCAGAACATTCGATATGGGGGCCAACTTCCGAAAAGCCTGGGAGTGTCAGGATATGCACGCTGAATTGGTCGATAAGCACATCTCGCAGATCGCCACCTAGACCTCAATCAAGTCGGCAAGCCCTCAAGGGAGGTCACTCCTCATCAAGGTCACTTCGACTGTACTAACGAAATGCCACAGATCAGCCCTTGAATGAGGTGCTACAAGCCGCTCAGAGTTGTGGATGAGGTCATTAGCTAGATTTTCGCCAAGTCTGCAATGGTGGCAGGTCATCAGGTTGGACTCCACCTCTTTGGTTAAGACAAATCATCGCCTAGATGGTGTCGAGGTATCATCCAACTATTCTGAGATGCTATGTGTCATAATGCCATTGGAAGACTAAATCCGCCCTCATCAACATTCTTTCACATTATCGTTAATGAAAGGATGAACTAAGTTTTCTCTCATTTTTCCAATAAAAATACTAAGGTTTAGACTTTCTATTTGGGTTAGAATCAATTTTATATCAAAAAATTGCGTGCAATTAAATCTGGTTTTATTTCCTTCCTGGATCAAACCCTTAGTGGACGAGTTAAATGTGGAATTTTTAACTACATTTCAAACTTCTGAAGAACACATTCTTGGCTCTAAGTCAGGCAGATTTGACCTGTTTTATATTTTCCATTCTCACACTTCATTTGATGGGCGGATTGTTTGGTGCGCTTTCCCATTTCTCATCTTAAACGCGACAAATAAATTTGAAACTAGAAAAAAAGATAATAATAATCTTCCACTCCATGTATTAATCCTCGACTCTATTCATTGGAAAAATTGGTCTAAAGCAATTTCTTTTATTGTTATTGTTGCTATTCTTTATCGTATTACTCATGTCATGACAACAACAACAGGGTTAGTCCGTCACCAAAGCTTAAAACTGAAGGCCGGATTTGATCCCAATCCCAAGTCTCCCCAACAACCAGTCAGATGGAGATAGGAGAGCTTACCAAAGAAGCCAAGCCAGTTGGCACATTTGCCTAAAGCACTTTGCTTCTGTATGGGAACACTTCAAAATACCCATTTAGTCAAATAAATACTTATTTTAAGTGGTGGGATCATATAATAAATGGAAAATAAACAATTATTCATATTTGTCAAAAATATGCAAAATAAATGCTTATTTTTAAAATAAACTAGAATTGAGTGGCTTTTTTAAGAGCTTATTCAAAAAGTTTTTTTTTTTTTTTAAAATAAAACCATCCCCCAAATTTTGTTTATTTTCCAATGATTGTCCTCATCTTCAAAAGATGATCGCTATTCACTTTTCCTCCAACAGAGATCTAAACCAGTGGTGGCGATCAAACACCCTTCCATAGAACCATTCCTTGCTCCACCGTGTTTGATTCCGTAAGTATTTATTGAAAAAATACTGTTATCGTGCATAAAACCATTGCTTAATTTCAAGTTTCAACGTTTATCAAATAAATACTAAAAAACATACACTTCGGTTTATGTGCATGAAGCATTTGGAGATCATCAAGTTCTTATTTCCCCCACCCCTAGGGCACTCGATCGGAACCACAGATCGGCCCCTAGAAGTTCCGACGGGTGTTACTTGAAACACCCATAAAAGGTCCAACCATAAAAAAAGCAATAAATATTTAAAGTAATATTTTCTTTTTCTAACTTTCTCTTAGAGTAAATGACAAACACCCCCCCCCCTATACTAAGGGTTTGTGACAAATACCTCCCTGAACTTTGTTTGTTTTGCGACAAAGACCTCCCAGTACTATGAGCGTGAGACAAAAACCCCTTCCATTGAAGTCTGCCGTTGCAATATTTTACCCAAAATATTGTCTAAAGGTTAAAGTTCAGAGGGTCTTTGTCGCAAAAAATACTACAGGGGGACTTTGTCGCAAAAAGAAAGTTCAGAGGGTCTTTATAATTTACCCAAAATTATAATTAAAACAAAAGACTTCATCTCTTCTGCACTGCACTACGCACGTTAGCGACAATACTCTGCTAGAAAGAATTTCATTCCTTTGTGTGTGTCCCGGTGTCCGTGCGTGCGTGTGGGTGGTCTCCCGCTCACAACTCTCCACCTCTTTTTCTTCTTCATCATCTCCTTCTCCACGGAAATAAGGGAAACAGGAGCTTTTCCTTTGATTGAGGGGCAATTCCGTCATATTCTCCAATAAGTTCTCCTTTCCCAACATTTTCGATCGTCTGCTTTTCTCCTTCGATCGTATTTCGATACACATTGTCTATTCTGCTCTCGCCTCTGAGCTGTAGCCCGTAGGTTCCATGGTTGAAACGAACCGAACCTCCCAAATGTGAAAGAAAAAGTAAAAAAGACTCGAATTCAAAGGTGTCATCTTTTTCTTCAGTCCTTACTGTAGAGCAAAAAAAAGCGACAAAGAAAAGGATATTCAGATTATTAACTAGAAAAAGAAGAAGAAGAAAACTGGAAAACAAAAAAACAAAAGGAACTCCACTTGCAGTTGCAGGCAGGCTTCTAACTTCTTCATTGGTTTGTTAGGGATTGCAGTACAACAAATCTATCATCATTCGTAAAGGAAGCCAGAGATAAAATCATAAAACTGAAGTTCGTAAAAGGAAAATTTTTCAACGGATTTAATGCAATTTACAGCTACGTTCCATCTTAACCAAAGAGGGAAATTTTGGTATTTTTGTTATTTCAACAAAACGAACCCAAATAGTATCTCCCCTCTACCTAAAATGTAAAAACAAATCAATACCTCCCATCCCTCACCCAAAAAAAAATTTTGTTGCTTTGCAACTAAGTACATTTTCCCGAATAGGAATAAATAAATAAAACCATAAACTGAAAGGACTAAAAACCAGAAGGAAATTGGAACAGAAAGAAAAAAAAAAAAAAAAAAAAAGAAATTTTAAGAGAAAAATTAACAAAAAATAATCATACCACCAAGTACAATGGTATACAAGACAGAGCAACAGCAACAACAACGACGGTGCTGCGTACGCCGGTAACGGCTACACTCGATCGGAACTCCTGGCTAAAACCCGGATGCGTCGATGGGCTCTCAAGACCGGGTGAATTCTCTGGAGAGAAGGAAATCTCCGGAGGCGGAGACCCAACCCTTGCATTAGCAGAGCCATACCTCGTCGACCCAAGGATTTGCTTCCCAAAAATCTCCCTCGGCAACAAAACCCTCGAAACAGCAAAAATAGAAACTGGATTCTGATCAAAAACAGTCTGGGTTATGGACGCTTGAACGATGCCCGTGTCAATCGCAACGGACCCATTAACCCTCGTAATATTCAATGTGAATGTCCCGGCACCCATGGCTTCCGTCGCCAAAGTCGGCTGAACAGGATTAACAATCGACTCAAGAGAACCCAACGGATAGTAAGAATGCAGAACGTGGAACTTCAAGACGACGGCTTTTCTCTCGGCCGGCAAGGACTGTAACCTCTCCGTGGTCGAAAGATCAGCAAACGCATCGTCAGTTGGAATGAACATCGTTATACCCGCCCCACCTTCATCCGCCTCGAATTCCTCTGCCACGCCCGACGCTGTTAGCATCGACGCCGCGACATTAAAATTATGCCCGTCGATCAAAACCCTAGTGATGTTCAGCCCAGGCGGTGGCCGATTTTCCGATGCCATTAAATTGAATCCATAAGGGACAAGGAGGGTATTAATGGAAAAGATGCTGACATTGTAAGGAAGGGTCTTGATCAGAGAGAGGATGGTGGCATTTAACGGAGAGTAAGCGACAGGAGAGCGGATGTAGACGGTGCCGTCAAGGGGGTTACGCGTGATGTTAACGGCGCCAAAGTTGTTGGTTGCCCGGCCGGTGGTTTGGTAGAGCGTCGTGACAAGCTTCCCGGAGGGGGGAATCTGGCGGAAATCCGGCCAGGAGAGGTACTGGAGGAGGACGTGGTACCGTATAACATCGGCAAGGTTAGCGGGAGAGGATCTACGAGTCAGATCGGATGAGGAGCTAAGGAAGTGGTTGGGGACGGCGAGGAGAGTGAGAGATGACCGGTCGGTCAGATCTTGGGCGACGGAAGTGGTAGTGAGGAGGTTGTTGAAGTCTGAGAGATCAGGGTAAGCAGAGAGAAGGGTTGTGATGTCGAGAGCGACAATGAGGGAAGACGGGGAGAGAAACAGGTAGGAGAGAATGGAAAGGGAAAAATGGGAAATGGTGAATTTGGCCATTCTTTTCCTCTGAGGATTTGAGAGTGTAGAGTTTATGTGTGAATGAGGTGTCTGTCTGCCCGTCCTGTCTGGTGAGGGAGGGGAGAGAGTGTAGAGCAGAGTCAGACTCAGAGGATTGATTTTTTTTTTTTTTCTTTTTCCTTTTGTCAAAAAAAGGATTGAATGTGAGGTGATGATGCATGATTGATTGCGGGAAATGTCCCAACGCCCTTGTTTATTATATTAATTAAATTTTGAGTAATAAAAATAACAAAAAATCCTTAAATCTTCCCGTGAGGTTTTTATTTTTTATTTTTTAATACATGCTAAAAGCCTAAAACCTTCCCTTAGTTCTTATTCTTGATGTTGTCTGTTGGAACGAGCGAAATATCAAATCTGCCCTTGTTGGGGTTGGGTTTAGAGTAAATTATAGGTAGTCACCCTCCTATTCCTGTACACAAACACTTCATCCCGCTATTACCACCTACCTTGGAGACTTGTTAATGTGTTGCCACACGCTGAATTGATAAACTTGCTTTGTAACCTTTTTAGACCACAAACGTGGTTCTTATGCCCCTAATTTTCTTCCTACGTGTAATGGTGGAAGATATATGGCAATGGAATTGCCTATAGGCTTCTTTATAAAGAAATGAGGAAAATAATCATTTTAAAGCAATAATTTGTTAAATACATTTATAAGTGGGTGTTTGGCATCAATCAAAGTGGTGTTTCAAATAATGTCCTTTTATTTGGTATCATTTAAAAAAAAAAAAAAAAAAACGTTGCTCCATACATACCACGCTTTGGAAATTAGGAAAATGTGGTTGGGAGCAATGCCAAATTCAATGTTTTCTAAGAAAACGATGCATTGCTGCTAGCAAGGCAATGATGTGGCATCAATATGACATCATCCTAGAAATTGGATAATATAGATCGATGTTGAAAATGTTGCCGCCGGCACTGGTATCAAACAAAATCAGTGTTGTTTTCTTAGAAAACGCCTATATGACAACACATATTCCAAATAAAAAATAAGCACCATTCGGTGTTTACAACTTATAACTCCACATGCCCAACACCATTTTTATGGGAAAACGGTGTGATGTTCCCAACACCAATGCCAAACACCTACTAAATCAATTGTTTTAAAGGTGATGTCATGATGAATTTTGTTGAAAAGGAAAATAAAACCGAGAGAAATAGTTTGAATCAGGATTTTAGAAAAACTAAGGAACGCTTGTCAATATGTGACCAGTTATGTATTCTAAAAAAACATTTCTCTCCCTCTTTGCCTGGCAACAGGGCAGGGATTATATTTCCCCTTCCCGACTCTGATTTTGAAATAAATTTTCATTCCCAACTTTAATCCCTGTTAGGGATAAAAGCTGTCCTCCATCCCTGATTCTCTAGGGATGGGTCCCCGAAATTTTTTAGTAATGCCTCAACCCAACCCCTTGTTTTCCAATTCACACATTCATCCATGGTTTTTAAAATCGAATTGGTGATTGAACCGGTCAGGGGTCCGGTTACCGGTTCGAACGATCCGACAGTTTGACCTGAACGACCGGCCCATTTAAAAAATGGTCAAAACCGTTCGAACGGTTCAAACAATTAACTAGTCGGCTCAGCAGTTTACTGACCAAAATCAACGGTTTTGAGGAAAAAAAGCGGGTTTGGGGAAAAACGGAACCGGTCAAGTGACCAATTCCTGGTTTTTCCGGTCCAACCGTCTGGTCCGGTGTTGAAAACCATGCATTCATCCAATGTCTCTGAATAGAAATACCATGTTTTTTAGGAGGTGTGGTCAAGATCCTGCAACAAGGAATGGATGTCGAATGAACCTTCATTTCAATTAGATATACCTTGTGTCTCTAGGGCTAGAAGCTAGAGCTTGAGGAATGAATCCCCACACAATACGGGACGGATTCTTATGAATTTCCAGAAACCTGATCAGGCTCCGCAAATATGGAAATATTTTTAGGAAAAAGGATGTTCCCTTCCCCCATCAAAATTCATATGCATTGCAGGCTTAGTAATACAGAGAATGTCATTCCCTTCTTCCGATTTTTATTATATGAGAATGCAGGGATTTTGCGTTGAGTCTGCACAACAGTGCCTCTTCACTTGGGACTATCTGCTGTCCTGTTAACTGTATATATGAACAAAGTTGAATATCTGAACCAATGAAAGAGAACATCGCTCACTTCCCCTTTACAATAGAAAGCAAGCAGCAAGTAAACAACTAAACATGATGATTTTGTCATTCACCAGTGACCATTTGATGAGCCACTCTAAGTAGTAAGTAGGTCATGTTAAAAAACAAATAGTTCTAACAAAAACAAAAACAAAAATAAAAATAAAAATAAAAACGCCACCCAAACCCATCATATTTACATAGTTGACTTGAAAGAAAGGTTAAAAATATCGATATGTCCGATACACTGGTAGGGGCATATCAGGTGAATCAATACCTTACTTTTTACTTCTTCTTTTTTCCGAAACCAGTTAGGGGGGCGGTTTAGGGCTCCTCCACCCGCTGAACCGGTCAGACCCTCGATACACCCACTGTAAGGGCATATCGGAGGGGTCCCGGAACAATACGTATCGGCCAATACGAGCCGATACATGTCGATACTTTGAACCTTGCTTGAAAGTTGGCCCTTTTCTATTTCATTTTGGTTGCATTTCATGAAATGGCAGCAAGCAAAAAACCAAAGAGAAACTTAGGCTGTCAATGTTTCACAGATTGGACTGTCAATAGATCTCATTGGTGTGCTGGTTTGTTCCAGAATTGATACAATCAAATCCCGCAACCAACACTTTGGGGTAATAGGGGGAAATTGTTAATGGTGCAAAGCACGGATTACAAAAAACAAAAAATGTTCATCCAGCACCAATACTGAGTCTGTCGGAGTTGGAGTTTGAGAGAGAACCCCGTTGACACTTGACAGTCAAATTTAAACACCAAAATTTTTGACGAGAGGAAAGACTAAAGAGAGAGGTGAAAAGGACTTGTGAAAGAATCACGCTCCTTTTAACTGTGACTCCCTTGCAAACTCTGCATACCGGATCCATTGATCACAACACATCGCTGGCCACGCACATCCAGCTATATATCGAGGTTTTAAAGTACAACCAATGTTCAATCCAAACTCGTATAATGGGAACATCTCCATATAAATTTAACTAAATGTAGAGATATTCCCAATGTATAGATGGCTTGCAGGAGATCCGGGCTCCGATGCCATGGGTCCACGCTTTTAGGTAGGTCGCAAGAGTATGCCGCCAACAGAAGATTTTAATTTATTATATGTCGCATGTTGTGGGGAGAGTTTAATGTGAATTAAGATACAGCCTCTATCTCTCGACTAAGAAACGTCAAGCCGGCATGGAGAGATAAGGTACAATAGTACTTCTCCACTTCAAAAGCCCTAATGCATTTGGGGGTGGGGGACTAGCTTGCACACAGACATAGTTGCATCTCACCTGTCCAAAATTTGTCATTCAAATTGACCTCTCCCTTCCTAAAAAGTAAATCCAGAGAATCAAATTTTGGCAAAAGTAAGTTCAACTGTTTAATAAGGCTACAAAATACAAATTACCCATGTAAAACATCAAACCTGACGACCAAGTAAAACCCATTCTCTCATGAAGCAAGGCTTTACTTGTCAATCAGGGAACCCAAAGACACCAAGGTTAATGCTTTCCTTCTCCAACTTTGTATTGCTTTGAGGATACTGCCGAGATAAATATAGGTTCTACTTCAAAATGAACAAACTCAGGTAGATATTTTCCACATATAGGTCCTGTACCCGATAGACACGAGGCAAAGCTCCCAAAGCATGTTGGGAATGCTTAGCGGATTCACTTTCGATCCAGGGATCTCGGACCAGTTTACAGATATCTCTATCATACGGATGCCAAAATGTTTACACAAGTAGACTAACTCAACATCAAAGCACCACCTGCATATGATAGATGTAGTAAGTTCACAATCTCAATCAAATAAATCATAAAGCAGAAAACACATACAGATAGCAACTTTGTTGCAAAAACCTGAAGAGAAAAAGGAAAAAGAAAAAAGAAAAAAGAAAAATACGCTAGGGTAACCAGACATGTTCTGTTAATTCTACTTTCTTCCAAGTAGCTGTAAGCAGTGATTTCAGTCATATGGCATACAGGAATTTCCTGTACCTGAAGCATGTCACCAACCTTAACGCATGAAGCACAAACCTCATGAGCATACTATTTTCTTCATAAACAAATAAACAATAATCTTACTATATAAACTATTGACCAATATGGTTATGGGAAATATTTGGCTCCCACCAGGTCGCAGGTACTCCACCTATGACCAGTGGATGTTGAAGCCACATCATCCAACATTTTAAAATTTTCAACACAAGAAAGTGTGGCTTTAACATCCACCAGTTGTAGGCAGAAGTACCTACCACCGGATAAGAGCTAAATATTTCACTATGGTTCTTAACTTCTTATCTCACTCCATCATTACCAAGGTTTTAAACAGCTAATATGAGTAGAAGTTGAATTAGGGCATTTTCAAGCAATGTTCTTGCCATATCTGGTAACACAAGATGTGGCCGGTTGTCAATATGGCAAGTTTGCAGAACCCTTTTCAATCAAAAGGAATGGTCAAGTGGACAAGAGAGTTTGTTCAGATGATGGCAGCTCTCACAAATATACCTATTGCTAGATAATTGGTCCAAGGTTCAAAGTATCGACACGTATCGGCCAATATGTATCATGCAGATGGCTTCCCGATACGCCCCTCCAGGGGTTGTATCAGGTCAGACACTGGTTCAGAGGGTAGCCAGGCCTTAAACCGACCACTCTGAACCGGTTTCAAAAAAAATAAATAAAACCTAAAAAAAGGTACCAATACAGGTCGATACGCCTTTTGAACCTTGAATTGGCCATTCTCAACCTAACCATTGAAGACAACTCTGCAAATGCTTTAAAATGGTTAGAGAAAAAGGAAGGCAGCCCATGGAGACTTGATCATTTTTTGGCAGTGGCTAGAGATTTATTGGATCTCATGAATGCAAACTTGCTCTAGATTCCAAGGGATCTAAACTCAGTAGCAGATGGCCTAGAAAAGCGTGGTGCCCATTTGGATGATTTAATTTTTTTTTTGGTATTTGGTGATACACACCACACTTATAATCCCTAAAATCGGTGGTCGCAGTAATCGAATCCACGTCTATGGAGTGAACCAGCTAACATACCAACTGAGCCACCCTTCAGTTGGCTCCATAAATTTATATTTGACAATGGTACTTTGAAGAGCTCTAACACTTTCTACTACGTATTTATATAACCATGTGAAGTCAGAAGCTTCCCTACCACATAAAGGAATCTTGTTGCCTGCCCAGTCTGCTCAGATAAAGAACTCTCTGTATTGGCAATATACTGAACCTTGCAGTTCACATCAACCTATTCCAACCCTGGGTTCGTGCTTTTGTTCAATTAATAACATCCCTCTATTTTTTAATTTAAAACTTTCTCATAAAAGATACATTCGTTATTTAGAAAAGCTCACTTAACAACCCTACTAGCAAACCCACTCTCTACACGTCTGTGTGTAATCTATGCTACATCGACAAATTGGAAGGATATGATCTGCCTTATGGCCTTTGAAATCATGATAATTACTCAACTTTTGGGGTCTACTTGATACATTTTTTATCTATTCTAACTCCATTATGAAGCACTTAATTCATATATGAATATTTTTATTTTACAATGTAAATTATATATTTTATGTATACCTTTTTGTACCTCCACAAACTTATATTCCCGTGGCCCTTCTTTTAAACCTTCACAACAACTGTGACAGAATGGTGCTTACATTAATTTTGAAAACTTAGATCCTATAAGGCCTTTTAGTCATAATTAATGACTGCTTTTTTATTCCCCTGTTTCTTAACTATTTTTATTTTTTTAAGAAAGGAAAATTTATGGATTTAGTTTCCTGAAACTTCTGCAGCACATCAGCAACACTGCAAATAGCTACTTCCATTGACCAAATTTTCTAGTTAGACAAATATGTAGAAGCAACTCTCTACATGTTAAGTTGACAGAATAGAAAGATCCTCTTTTTAAGAGATATGGTCTGTGTCAAATTGTTGACAGAAATGAAATATTTCTATTTGCCTGCTATAGATTCAGATTAGGCATGATCAAACTTTCAAGTTTCATTGCAGTTTAGCAATTTATAAAATTTCACACGATTTACCATCCAGATTATAGAAAACACAAAATCTCTCCAGAGGGTAAGAGCGAAACATAGGTATCAATTGAAGTCATTGTGTTAAGTTTTATCCATGGTTCAGGTCAAGGTTTAAAATTTTGATACGTAACAGGCCGTATCGGCCGATACGTATCGTATTGGGGGCTTCCCGATATGCCCCTACAGGGGGTGTTTTGGGGTTTAACCTCGTTCAGGGGATAGACAGGCCTTAAACCGACCCCCCTCTGAACCAGGTTTAAAAAAAAACTAAAAAAATAGGAGAAATGAGCCTCGGTACAGACCGATACGCCCCTACCGGCGTATCAGCCATATCGATATTTTGAACCTTGGTTCAGGTGAATATATGTACAGCTGCATCATTTATTAAATGGAAAACTTGTTGAGATTTAGTATGATTCAGTTATACTCAAGCAACAGATAAAGTAAACAAGAAACGCCCAAGCATATTTCAAAATGGAAGAAAAACCCAGTCCACATCAGTATGTAAATTCTTAAAGATACCTTTTCAAACGGATGTTCGAGAAAAGTTTCCTCGCTGCTGCCCTAGTAAACATCTTAAAGCCACACTGCAATACATGCAATGAGTTCATGTCAAGGAAAACAATAGAATAAGCACCTCAGAGTCTGCCTGTTGGCTTCAACTAAGAATTAAACATCATTGGGAACCAGTTCTATTTTTACCAATGTGGTTAGGTAATAACTAGTTTTTTGGGCCTCTCAAGTTGATTTAATGGCTAGCTGGTGCCAAGGCACTGATTAGTTGATGAGAAAAAGAAATTTTCTAAATTTAAGATACTGATGCAATCTCATAAATAAGTTAATGTAGATTTGCAAGAAAAGAATGATATTGAGGAGAAAGAAACGCTAGAATTTTCCAAGATAAAGAGAGGTCCTTTACAGAAGTGAAGGAATGTATCTTAACCAGGACTATCCATTGGTTGAAATCCTTGGCTTCTTTCAGCTCTTTTTCATTTGATGACATCTGGAGAAATTAGGCCACAGTTGCACACACTCCGGTTAGGAAAACCAGAGCCACTATAGTTTGGGTAACTCCCCCAGAAGGTTTTTTTAAACTGAATTTTGACGGAAGCAGCCAGGGTAACCCAGGACCATCTGGCATTGGAGGAGTATTGAGAAATGAAAATGGCAACATCATATCCTTATTCTCAGGCCCGATAGGGATAGGGGACTCTACAAGAGCTGAGATATTGGCTGCAGTACAGGAAATTCAGATTGCTAATCAACTAGGAGTGGAGAACCTATCGATTGAAGGGGATTCTAAGGTGATTATAGGCTGGCAGTCAAATCCAGACTCAGTTGTTTGGAGTTATATCTCATCAAAAAAGTTAAATGTTTAACAAGGCACATAACATGTAGATATCAGTGGGTGGGTAGGGAGGCAAATGCTTTGGCTGACCATCTTGCTAAACAGGGGTCTACTAGGGACCATTTATTCTGGGCAGCATTGTAATTTTATTTCTGATCTTTTGTAACGGTTAGGGGAGGCTGCATCTCGTGCCACTCCAAGGGATTCTTGTAAAATCTTATTCCTATTGTTTAATGAAATCATTTTCAATTATCAAAAAAAAAAAAAAACATTTAGTTTACAGTCTCTGTTTTGCAAACATAAAAAAAGTTAGGCCTATCCTAGATAGGGAATTGCAGCCTTTGTTTTCCAAAGAGAAAGTTGCAGCCTTTTATTTGATTCCCCCTTTGTTTATGGCAACTCGATACCAACACACCACTCATCAGAAGAAAAAAGAACCCCACTACTACCTTATTTTTTGTTTTATATCTTTTTTTTTATTTTATGTGCCAACAGCCAGTCATGTTCCATCACAACTATGCAAATAATTGAAGATAAAAATAAACAAATGAAGCTCTGAAATGACTTTGTGATTGACTGGGATAACAAGTCAACTTACTTGATGCTTAGTTGTCTTATGCAACTGTATCATGAATACTGACCAACTAGTTAGTAATTGATTGATGACTAGTTGACATTTTAGTAACACTGTCGGGAACATGCACAGTTAAGTACCTGTGTATCACGAATTCCTCGACCAGCAGTCAAGAGAACTACAGCATGGAAGCCCTTCATAAGAAAATTCCGATACCACTTCCGCTGAAACATTAAGTGAACACCTCTTCTAAGAAAAAGAATTGAAAGGTAAATAAAAAAAGATGTATATAGGGAAATAAATGAAATTAATGACTAAACTGTAGCCAGAGCCTTCTCCTCAAGATGTGCACGAGAACCAAATGCAACAATTGGAATATCAGAGATTCTTGAAACCGAACCACTATCCACACCATCTCTAAGCTTAAGTTCATTTTTAGCTTCTCTACGTATCTGAGATAAGAAATATCAGAAAGTCTTTCTATAAACTGCAAAAATTTTGATGTGATAACTGAAACAGTAGATGTTGAAAAAGCAAGTTAATAATGTAGATGCCATCGTTGATACTGACTTGGTTTTCAAGCTTTTCTAGGTCATTAATCTTAGTTGCCCCATCAGCATCAAGCATTAGAAGTAGCTCACCACGTGAATGGAGCATTCCCTGTTTCACAATGCTTCCAAAGAAGTGAATGGCCTCAATCAATCAGTGTCATATGTGATGGAAAAAAGGGGACACACATGAGGGATTATCTGTCCCTAATTATGTATCAGTGGGGTATTTACAGATGGACTCACTCTTCTTATAGCTTCTCCTTTTCCATGGTTCCTTCCAAGAAGAATGACCCTCACATTTTCTATCGTGTACCTTCTTACAAAGCCAAAAGCTACTCTCTTTGTCCCATCAACACTCCCATCATCAACTATCACCACCTGTTCAGGAATTCATCCATTTATTTAGACGCCAAAAATGTTACAGGAAATTTTAGAAACAGAAATATTTCCTACATGGCCCCAGATAGAGGCAAACGAAGTAACATATGTGCATCTGAACCACAAACCGAGGACCTTCAAACTATTAAAAGAAACTAAAATTCTAAATACACAACAAGTCATAAACTTGAGAATAAACTGAACTGCATGTTCCAAGAGAATTGGCTCAGATCAGTGATGAAGAAGCTCCTTATCAATGCAACAGTAAGACAATTAGATGCATTTAAAGTTGAAGGTTATAAAAGGAAAAGAGAATGCCAAAAGAACATGGATTCAGGTAGTCAGGAAAGATCCCTTAACACAATTTTTTGGAAAGAAGATATGACCTAAATTTAGCCAATGCTAAGGAACAACATTCCCATTGTAAATTCCACCGAGGAATAATGCAGATAATAACAACGCTTTTAGGATCTCATATCTATCTGCTTACTGAATCACATAAAAGTAATAGATAAGATATGTTGCCGAATGCCATAAGGAGAACCCTACATCAATTCACCAATAAAAGATCCCCTCAGAGTGGAACTTCACTTGCCCCTTATGCAGGATAGATTTGATTTATTTTCATGGAATAGAATATAAAAAGAAACATCCTTATCTGAATGTCATTGTTAATACTATATAATAAATCATTTTATCAAATAAGAAATCATACTGTAAAATAATATCATGCAAGTTTAAGTTTAAGCTTGAGATTTAATTCCCTCAGAAGACTTGCCTCATAAGAAAATGACTTGTCCTTTGCAGCACGTTGTTGAAGATAACTACAAAATAAAGACCCAATAATCATTATTTGTAACTTCACTACAAAGAACATGTATATAATTATTTAACAATGTGAAAGAGAAGAACATTTGTGTTCTACTAAAAGAAGTAGGATGGGGATGCAGTTAAAAGAAGGAACATATTGCACCATATCAGTAAAGATCCACATCAAAGAAATCTACATACTGAAGGACACATCTAAAGATTATATTAGCTTTTGTTTCTCACAAGAATAAGATAATTTTTCAAATTCTATTTTCTGATTCTTTTCTACTTACCTACTATTCAGGGTTCTTTATTTTCTTTTCCTTGATCTGTACCATAGTTGTCAAGGCAACGCCTAGGTGGGCGCCTAGGCAATAAGGTGCTCATGGAGGGCCTCCTTGCTTAATCACCAAGGTATTTTTTACATGGTGCTTTCGGATACTTTTATATTTTTAACTTTAAGATTATAATAATAAAATAGACATTACTAAACTAAACTAGATCTGTCTTCTCCATGAACAGATCTAAAGCACCAGGGCCGGATGGTTTCACAATGGCTTTCTTTCAAGATTGTTGGGACATAATCAAGGAAGACTTGATTGAGGTCTTCAAGGAATTCGAGGATAATTCAGTGATTAGTCGTGGAGTTAACCTTTTTTAGCCTTAATTCCCAAGAAGAAAGAGGCCAAGCATCCAAAAGACTTTCGACCTATTAGTTTGGTGACTAGTGTATACAAGGTTGTGGCTAAGGTCTTA